GTTCTTAGCCCCGCCCCGGAAGCCCTGCCCCTCTCATGAGTCCCGCCCCGGAGCCCTGGCGCTCAGCGCGCATTGGCTCCCCAAAGGCGCTCAGCCTCAGGTCCAAGCTTGGTCCTACCCCAGACAGCGCCGGGTTCCAGAAAACCGAACCCTATTTCGAATCCCTTCAGGGACGACCCTCCTCCCCCCTTACTCTATTCCTGTCTCCCTGTCCGTACGGCGAAATACCTGCCTCGCTCAGGGCGCCCCAAAGGTTGACTTGTGAGGGGGATCCTAGCCTTCAGCCTCACCCCGCGCCGCCCCGATCCGCGGGCCCAGGCCCCAGATCCTTGCCTCCCGGCCCAGTCCGCCCCCTAGTGCGGGGTGCTTGGGAACGCGACCCCTGTCCCCTTGCCGGCCTGAGGGTCGATATTTCCGGCGGCACCTGGACCTCCCCTCCTCCCTTTTCCCCCCCTACCCCCTCCACCCCCCGTCATCAGCCCTCTCTTCCGGGGCCGGAACGATCGTGCCAGAGCCCAGGTTTCCCAGCCGGCGGGGTGAGGAGGACGCTCGCCACTAGGAAACGGAAGGGGACAGGCTCCGAGCGCGGCGTTTTGGGAGCGCGAGGTATTCTGGGAGCGCGGGACCGCCATTCGCTCGCCTCACGCTCTCGCAGTCGCCTGAGTCGCCGCCGCCGCTGCACCGGGAGAGAAGAGGAGGCCGGAGCCGCTGGGGATTCCTGCCAAGATGTCTATCGGCGTGCCCATCAAAGTCCTGCACGAAGCCGAGGGCCACATCGTCACGTGCGAGACCAACACCGGCGAGGTGTACCGCGGGAAGCTCATCGAGGCGGAGGACAACATGAACTGCCAGGTAGCCGTGCGCTTCCCGCTGTCGGGGCACCGGTGCCCCTGGCCCGGAGAGCAGACGGGTGGTGGCGGGAGGTCTCCTGGACGCTGTTCCCATGAGCAGGGATTTGTCGAGCGCCTCCTGTCTGCTAGGGGCGGTGTTGCAGGTCCACGGGGTGGGCAGGGATCAGAGCCCCATGGGATTCTGGAAGAGTCAGCTTTGTCCTTCGTTTTCTCCCCTGGTCTGGGGACCTGCCTCAGAGAAGGCCCTCCTCCCTTTCGTTGGAGTCCCCCCAGGTTGGGCCATTATCCGTTTGCCTCCACAGGTTTGCATAGCGCTTTGCAGGTAACAGAATCTTCTATTCACATACTGTGTTTATTTGCCGTTTTTCTTGGGGACGTGAGTCTCATTTGATTAGAGCAACTACCTTGTGAGGTAAGTGGGTTTGGGGAGAGTGTTGTCCTCCCTAAGTAGGGAGAATACGATTAAAGGGCTCATCTGTGAATGTCACCCTGCCGCACTGATGGAGCAGCTTCCTGATAGGGTGCCCTTCCCTTGGCACTATTTGCCTTTTGCTAAAATCACGTGGATTTGTGTAACATTCCAAAGTGTATCAGCACTCTCTCCTTTGTTTAAACCATCGGTTAAGAGCTTGGACTGTGTAAACAGATGTTGGCTTGAATCTTATATGACCTTTGGCATGTTAATCACCTCAGTTTCCCCATCTGTAAAATGGGATGGTGTTACTTTTGGTCCTCTGTGATACAGATGCCAAGATTGAAGAGTCTGGCCGGCCGGCATGGCTCAGTGGTCAAGTGTCGACCTATGACCCAGGAGGTCACGGTTCCATTCCCGGTCAGGGCACAGGCCCGGGTTGTGGGCTGGATCCCCAGTAGGGGGCGTGCAGGAGGCAGCCGGTCCATGATTCTCTCTCATCATTGATGTTTTTATCCCTCATTCTCCCTTCCTCTCTGTAATCAATAAAAACGTACTAAAAAGGGGGGGGGGGCTGAAGAGTCTAGAGTGGGCAGAAATGGCTGATGGCTGACCCTGGTCCCCCTGCGGGGTCAGTCATTGGCTGGCACCCTGGGGAGAGAGTGGCCTCTCTGGATCCCACAGGTGTAGCTGGAGGTTGTCGGCTCCCTGTGTTCCTTACAAACTGTGGTTCCTCTGAAGGGAGATCTCAGCAGAGTACTCCCCAGGCGGCCACGGGTGCCACCCACACCCCAGGGCTGTCCTGCAGAACAGACAAGTTATGTGTGTGCAGCGGTTAGCTCAGCCCCTTGCACGTAATTCAGCACATGGTGACTTAATGCTTCCCGGTGAGAAAACTGAAGGTCAGCGGGATACAGTGACTTGCCCACGGTCACACTGGACCAGGTGTCTTTTTTAAAATATATTTTTGTTGATTTCAGAGAGGGAGAGAGAGATAGAAACATCAGTGATGAGAGAGAATCACGGACCGGCTGCCTCCTGCATGCCCCCTACTGGGGATCGGGCCTGCAACCCGGGCCTGTGCCCTGACCGGGAATCAAACCATGACCTCCTGGGTCATAGGTCAACGCTCGACCACTGAGCCACAGCGGCTGGTCAGATCAGGTGTCTTAACTGCTGGTTACTTCCCAGGGTTGTTCATTCATTTGTGATTTCTTGCAGCGTTGAGCATCATCTTCCTGCCAGGTTGACCCGCTGGGCAGGGAGGTAGGCATCGGTGACGGCAGGTTTCTCTCCTCTGTGGATGCCATGGAGGTGGGGAGGTGGGCTCTCTGTAGGTCCTGTGGGGCTTGCCTCCTGCCTTGGTGAGGCACCACTGTCATAGATCCAATCCGCTGGCTAAGGCATCCTCCTTCATTGTAAGGTTCTTTAGTTTGGGGAGTAGAATGCGAAGGGTGGGTAGGGAAGCCTGATGTGTTTACTCAGCTATTTATTTGGACCTCAGGCTGCCCCTTTGTGCTGTGAGGGTGTCAGGCCACGTGACCTTGCTGGTCTCGGATGCAGCCAGTGTGAGGTGAAGCACGCAGACCCTGGGGGTGGCCTGCCACCCAGTGTGACTCGGAGTCGGTGTGGGCCTCTCACCCTCTGTCCCCTCCTTTCTAAGCAGGGATGGAAATAGTGCCTCAGCCTGAGGACTGTGGTTGCGGAATAAATAAGCAGGTGCTTGTCAAGCAGCAGGGGCCAGCTGCGCGTCTCCCCCCGGGATTGATCTGCGAGGGCTGCCGTAACAGTTCGCACTGTATAGTAGCCCCTCTTAGCCAAGGGGGGTACGTTCCAAGGCCCCCTCCACCCCCCAGGAAATGCTTGAAACCGATAGTATCCTACACACTCATACCTATGATAAAGTTTAATTTGTAAATTATGCTAATTTAGACCAGATGTCCTTCCAGACAACCTTCTGGATGAAGCCAGGGCTGTGATGGAAGCTGGTGCCGGTAGCCAGGGGAAGGAAGGCCTACTCTTGCATAAATTTCGTGCATCGGCCCTCCAGTAACTAATAATAAACTAGAACAGTTATAACAATATACTGTAACAAACATTGTGTGAATGGCTTTGAGACCATGATTAAGTAGAATGCGGGTTACTTGAACACCATGACAGTTGATCTGATAAGCCGATGGCTACTAAGTGACTGACAGCTGAGCAGTCGTGTGTATATTGTGAATTGGATGGACACAGGGACGATTCACGTCCCGGGTGGGACAGGGCAGAGGGCATGAGATTTCATTATGTTACTCAGAATGGCGCACAGTTTAAAGCTTATGAGTCGCTTATTTCTGAAGTTTTCCATTTTTTTTCGGACGATGGAGAGCCGTGGGGACTGCTGTGCTGAGATCTTCTCCAAGACACCGTTTCCCTTGGGAGCCGGGCTGGCTGTGCCATCTGTGTTTCATTGTGGTTATTTGGGAGGTTGGGTAAGCTGGGTGTTCTGTCCGGCTTATATTAAAACCTAGTTCACTCGAGTTCCTGCCTTTGTCTTACGTGGGAATGTAGCTCAGGCTTATTAACGAGCCGTGTGGTGGGTGGGTGGGCAGCGGACTGCGGGCTCAGTACACGGCGCAGTCATTTCCGCTGGCGCTCCCGGGAGCGTGAGAGTAGCAGCAGCCGTTCTCGGGTTCTAATAGGAGTCAGATGGTGCTGGGCTCTTTCCCGCTCCGGCCAGAACACACACAGTTTGTGAAACACGTAGTTTACGTCTGTTTGATCTTACACAACAGCCTCTGTCAGGGATTCGCAAGGCGGGCTGGGAGATTGGGACCAGAAGGAGTGAGATGTGCAGTTTATGCTGAAGGAGAAGTGATTGGCAGCCCAGCCCCCAAAGGAGACTCTTTTCCTTTAATTTCAGCTGCTTCCCCCAAAATAGACATTTTAGCTGTCATTGTTTGGATTCTCCATTTACTGAGGTCCTGTCGTGTGCTAGGCAGTAGGAACATTTAGACATTCTCATCTCATTTCATTTGCTCCTCGGTGGTTCTAGGAAGTGTGTGGTGGTCTGTGTGTAAGAGCGGACTCAGTCGGGGGCCTGGGCTCACACCCCAGCAGGCCACACGGGGGCAGTGTGGCCTCAGGCAGGGAATGGGGAGACAGCTCTGCCTCTGGTGGCCGTGCCGCTCCCTCTCTGGTGGGGATGGTGGCAGGATATGTCTCCGAGGGTGTGTGGCATAAAGTGAGTTGCTGTGTGCCATCTCCTGGGACATTGGCTTTGTTATGGGGTCTTTTTCCTCACTTTGTAGGTGAGTGAACTGAGGCTCCGGGGAGCCAGGAGACTTAGCAGGTTACATCCCTGACAAATGGTGGGGCTGGGCCTCTGCCGTCTGTGGGTCAAGGTGGGGCTGGTATTGTGAACCTTGGTCAGGTCCACATTTCTCAGGTAGTCTAACCTGCCACCCCTGCTGTTTGTTTGTGGCACCAGAGGTGAGGGTGTTCTTCAAGGCAAGAACAGGTGGCAAGGACGTAGACACTGGACATTTGCTAAGAAACTGGGGGTATTGGGCCTGGAGCCAAGGATGATGGGAAACTTGAGCCCTGAGGGTATAAGAGGGTCAGTGGTTGCAACTCTAGAAACTGTTCAGCTCACAGATACAGGGCGGGCGGCCCTGGAGTGCTCGTCTCTGTGCGCTGGGTGTCAGGCACAGGCTGGTGGTCAGCTGGCACTTGAAGAAGAGAACGAGTGAGTCTCAGATGCCAGCCATCTGTCAGGGATCTGGGAGACAGCACCCCTCTCTGCAGTGGGCGTGGCCCATTCTGAATAAATTGTAACCCTCTTTCCTCCAAAAGACTCATAAAATCAGCTCCTTTTCCTGGTAAATGTGGTGCCCGTTGAGATTGGCGCTAGCAGGCTTATGTCCCCTTCCCCTGCCATGCCAGTCTCCTGGCCGACCTCACCTCTCGGCTCCCGCCTCCATCGCACAGTTACCCATGTAGCATGTTCATCTTCCCAAAGTGCTGCCCTGACCCTACCCCCCCCCTTCCTCTGTCCACGAGCTTAAGTGACCCATAGTGTCTGGGGGAAGACCCTGTCCTTCGTCCCAAGTGCACTGCTCCAGTCCTTGCATCTGTCGGTTCCTGCCTGAGTGCCCTGTCTCTGGGAGCCAGCCCTTCCTTAACCCTCTTGGCATTCCAGGCCCTGCATGCTTCTCAGTCCCTAGTCACCCAAGCCAGGGGAGTGGTCCAGAGTGCACTCTGGGAGGACAGAACGCATCTGGCGTCTGCCTGTGACCTCCATGGCATTGCGGTCTGTGCGGGCAGGTGCAGGAGAGGACAGAGTTGGGACAGGAGGCCAAAGCTGTTCCAGGTATCACCACTGAGAGCGCCTCACGCGCTGATGGGGCAGAAGAGCAGAGCTAGTGCCCTGGAGCCCGGCCGCTGGGTGTGAGGCGACTCCCCGCATTCTGGCTGTTGGACTTTGGACAAGAGCTTTGTTTTTTTAGCTGTAAAAGTGGTAACGCTCATACCCACTGGAGGTGCTGTGAGGACCATGTATGTAAGGGCCTAGCACAGGCCCTGGCTTTGCCTGTTCCTTTATTTCATGATGGTAGTTTGTGCGTTTCTGGACCCCCACCACCACCGGCCAGGGCTCCGCCCCTCTGTGTGCCCCTGTTCTCCACCGGCCTGGTGGCCCTTGCTGATGAGCTGGTGATTTTCTTCCAGATGTCCAACATCACAGTCACATACAGAGATGGCCGGGTGGCCCAGCTGGAGCAGGTGTACATCCGTGGGAGCAAGATCCGCTTTCTGATTTTGCCTGACATGCTGAAAAACGCGCCCATGTTAAAGAGCATGAAAAATAAAAACCAAGGCTCGGGGGCTGGCCGGGGAAAAGCTGCGATTCTGAAGGCCCAAGGTAGGTGTTCCTGAGGCACTGGCTTTAGCATACGGGTTAACAGTGCGGGGAAGTCACTGGTTCTCTACCAGCATCTTTAGCTGCTGTGTGTATCTCGTGAGGTAGCTTGGGGTTTAAAGATACGATAAAGGAATCCTTTAAAATGCCTTCCCAAACGCTGACCCGTTCATCTCGCCCTTCCTAGACAAGAGGCGGTGATGGGGAGATAGAAGCTCTGGACCTTTTGTCCTGGACAAGGAATGATGGCAGAAATGCCAGCTTCCCTGCTAGGACTGCTGCTCCCCCTGCTCTCCCGGGAGCGCATGCTCATTGTCGCTGTGACTGCACCATCTCCAGCAAAAGGCGAAGCCAGTGGCTCTGCACCAGGAGGCACTTGGCAGTGAGCCGCCCGGGTCCGCTGGCTTCTGCCGGAGCCACCTGTGCCTTCCCGAGCCCCTGCTCTGGTGCTGTCAGCATGTGGCTGGTTCTCAGGTGGCTTCCCTCCCCCGTCAGGGCAGCTCCAGGCTCTAAGCCAGTGGTTCTCAACCTGGGCTGCACATTAGAATCACCTGGGAACCTTTTTAAAATCCTGATTTCTGGGCCTCATCCT